GGGGGGGGGGGGGGGGCAGGTGATCCTTCTGCCTCAGTCTTCCAAGTAGCTGGAACTACAGGCATGCACCACCACGCTGGGCTAATATTTTGATTTATTGTAGAGATGAGGTCTCGCCAAACGGCCCATTCTGGTCTTGAACCCGTGGGCTCAGGCAATCCTCACACCTAGGGCTCCCAGAGCACTGGGATTATGGGCATGAGTCACTGCGCCAGGCCCCACATGCTATTTATAAGAGATACATCTAAGACATAAGCAACCAGGAAGTAAAAGACAAAATTTCTATTCAGCTTTTCAGTGTTTCCCTAAAGAGATTGTTTTTCAGGATAAGATCACACTGTGAATATAATGGTGCATCCCTCTGAGACATTAATTTTTCTTACATTTTTCCTTTATTAAACATTTTCTTATTATTGTAAGTCAGTTTTCAAAGGATGATATTCCTAGTATTGGAGTTTAGAATTTTGAGTCCTGTGAATAAATGGAAGGAAACTATTTTGTCAGTTGCTAAAGATAACAATTCTAAAATTTTTATTGGCCCAAAATGCTTTAAAGGAATCTTGGGACTATAATTGCTATATTTTTTATTGATCCTGCTAATAAACTCTAGGTTTCAAGGCATTGCATATACACGTCCTAAGTGAAACAAAAATTTCTACCATTTTCTTTCAAAGTATCCAGGAAGAACCTTGGCCGTATCTTTTAAAAATCTTTCATACTTGAGTCAGTCTCACTCTCACTCTGTCGCCCAGGCTGGAGTGCAGTGGCACACTCATGGCCATCCCAGCTTCGACCTGCTGGGCTCAGGCGATCCTTCAGCCTCAGCCTCCCAAGTAGCTGAACTACAGGCGCAGGCTTCCATGCCTGGCTTATTTTTTTTTAAATTTATTGTAGAGATGAGGTCTTGCCAAGTTGCCCAGGTTGGTCTCGAACCCGTGGTCTCAGGCAATCCTCTCGCCTCGGCCTCCCAAAGTGCTGGGATTATAGGCATGAGCCACCGCGCCCGGCCTCATATCTTTTTAAAGTTAACTTATTTCACTTTACATTTTCACTTATTTTTTCATCGTCTCTAAGTCTTCCGCCTCTTCTTAAGCCCCCTCCCCGCACCCTGGCTTTGTCTTAGGGCTTCCCGACGTTCAAGGCCCGGAGGCTCCGGCAGGAGGCGAGTCACGGCGGGCTTGGCGCCGGGACATCAAGGCTCCCAGCGGCCGCGCACGGTGACCGGTACCGCGGGCCCGGGAAGAGCCCACCCCACGCCCCCCCTCGGGAGGCCGCTCCATTTCTTCGTTTCCGACTTAGAAGAGCAGCTTTCCGCTGGCTTACGGGCAAGGAGTGATGGCGCGGCCGGAGCCCGAGTCCTCGCGCGCAACCCGTGGACTAGGGGACGGCTGGCGCGGGCGGGCCCCGGAACCCGACTCGCCGGCCGCTGAGCACTAGTCAGGAGCTCGCCCGCAGGCGGACCGACGACGAGCGCGGGCTAGCCCACAGGCAATTTTGCCGAGACGGTCCGGCCGCCAGCACAGCGCGCCGCGCAGCCCTAGCAAACCCGCAGCGGCCAGTAGGAGGTGCGGCGCCTCGGGGCGGACCTCGCTCGACTGACTGTTAAGGAATCAGAGTCTCGCGATATCTGGGGGAAAGGGGCGCGTGAAGCCCACGTGCACGCGCCCGAGGGCCGTTAGGGTGGAACACCTCCCGGGCGGGGCGGGCGGAGCGGGCGGAGCGAATACAGTTGGAAGCCAGTTGGTGGAGCCCCCGCGGGAAACGACTGAGCGCGAGGAGCGTGCGCGCTCCCGTCGCGGCGGCGGTGGCGGCGAGCGGCGTCAGAGCTTGGAGGGGGGGTCGACCGTCTCTGGCGGGTGGAGGTGTCGGAGGCGAGAGCCTGCTTAGCTCGTGTCGTTTCTGTCCCAAGAACCGGACAGAGCGTGAGGGCACGAGGGTCGCTTTCGGGGCTGCTGTCTTCCGCGTACACGTCGTCGTGAGGAGCGCAGCCCGGACTCCCGCAACCCCTCCGGCTGCTTTCCGCACGCCTCGAGGCGGCGGGGCCACCGAGACAGCGTCGCACCTCCCCCACCCCTTCCCCTCATCCCCCGCCCGAAAGGGCCCGGTCTGCGCCCCAC